TTTTCCCCACAGCAACAACCCTGTGAGGTGAGTTGGGCTGAGAGAGAGTGACTGGCCCAAAATCACCCAGCCAGCTTTCATGCCCAAGGCAGGACTAGAACTCACCGTCTCCTATTTTCTAGCTTGGTGCCTTAACCACCAGACCAAACTGGCGCATACTTTCTCTCCTTCTTTTTGTTTTGTTTTGCTTACTCCACAGACTTCCTGGCTGTCCTTGATTTTAAAAGCTATGAATTTTGATTTTGTGCTCTTAGCTATTTGATTTGGCTGATTGAATGTTTTATTTTCTGCTTGTATAAATTAACTTTTACTTTCTTGTCAAACTAATAAACTTTTATCATTTGAGCAAACCATTTGTGTGTAGTTAGTTCTCGGAAAGATGCACATCTGTATATCTGCAAATGCATGAATGCATATGAATTGCTTCAAGGTGTTACCTTAGAAGGACAGAATGCTCCTTTATTTATTTATTTATTGGCAGTATTTTAGTTATGACACATAGTAAGAACATAGAAATTGCCCTCTGCAGTGTTCTCATATGGGAAGACAGCCTGCAAATATAAAAAGATAGTGAGTGAAGGGCTACAATAGTAAATATGAAAACAGGATCATATTCTTGGGATTTACTTATAATGCTTGCTTTTGGCAATGAAAATTATTTCCACTAGATGTCATTATAAAACAAAGATGCTAAGAGACAAAAACAAATAAAAATTAAGTGTACTGGTGATCAACAAAGATCATGAAGCTCCTTCTAAGAGAAATGCGGGAAACTTGGTGGTCTTCAAATGTTACTCTCAGCTTCTTTCACCTTTGACCATGCTGACTGAGGCAGATGGATTATTTGTTCAGCAACATTCAGAAGTCCTCAGATTCTGTAGACACCAAAATCAAGAGTGTCAAGAGTGCTGTCGGCTTGCCCTTAATTATCAGTTTGCAATTATATAATGTTGAGTAGATACAATACAGATAGTCTTCGCTTAGCGACCACTTGTTCAGTGGCTGTTTGAAGTTATGGTGGCACTGAATGAGATTTACAACCAGTCCTCAAAGTTGTGGCCATCACAGCGTCCCCGCAGTCAGATGATTGTGATTTGGGTGCTTGGCAACCTGTGTGCAATTACAATGCTCATGGGATTCTGTGGTCATGTGATCACCATTTGTGACCTTCCCTGCCAGCTTCCAACAAGCAAAGTCAATGGGGAAGCCAGCAGGAAGTTGCAAATTGCAGTCATGTCATGTTGCACTTAATGACCATGTGTGATTAGCTTAATGACCACAACCGGAACTGCTGTTGTCATGTGATTTTTTGTTTTATGGCCATGTTGCTTAGTGACAGAGTTCCTGATCCCAATTATGGTTGTTAACTGAGGACTACCTATACATCATACTTGATTAGTTCCAGACTTAGTCATTCTTTGAATAATGGCATTGAAACAATTGGGACAAATTAGTTGTGACTAGGAATGGAGAAAGGATTTCATGTGGTTAGTATTTTAATGTGAACTTGGACTTCTGGAGGAAGAAATGGCTCCAGACTGAAGATGGCTCCATGAAAAGCAGAGCTGATGACCGCTGTGGAATGAGCCAGCAAGTAAACTGGGTTTTTGAAATCTCTCCAGACAGACAGACAGATCTCTTGAGATCTCCCACAAGTGCTCCAGACAGCTGCTCCTCGCAAGGAGACTACAAGATAGCAGTCTCTGGCAGGTTTAGAGCTCTGGGAGATGAGGGAATAGCCATCTTGCTCAAACTGCAGTTAGCACCTTTGAAAGGACACTAAGTTCACATACTTTTCTAATCACCTTTGGATCAACAGGTTTGACAGCACCGGGTGAGTTTCCTTCAATCCTTAGCAAAAGAAAGTTTGAACTACAAGTTTAAGGACTTAAAAAAATTTTTTTTGAATAAACAGCAAAAGGGTGATTAAAACTTTGATTTTAGAAAGTTACAAATGAAGGGTCCAGATAAATTTGAAATAAGATTTTGGAATTAAATTTAAAAAATCCCTCCCATGGGAAAAAGCTTTTGTTTTTAATTAAAAA